GCTTTTGGGAAGGCGCCCGGGGCAGCGGCGCCGACGCACGGCCCTTCTGTGGGGAGCAAATCCTCATCCTGCAGCGACACGCCTGCACCTCTGACAGAGGCAAAACTGGGTTAAACATGCAGCTGGTGCAGGCCATTGATGTTATCCCTTCTGAAAATGCTAAAAGCGCCCTGACGGCCGGAGCGGCGTCGGCAGCGAGCGCAGAGCTACGCGGTGTGTCCTGCCTGTGCTGCACCGGGCTGTGACAGCACCAGCACAGAGTGCTGCACTGCTCCTGCAGCACAGAGAGTGCTGCACTGCTCCTGCAGCACAGAGAGTGCTGCACTGCTCCTGCAGCACAACCAGTGATCCAGTGCTGCACTGCTCCTGCATCCCAGCCAGTGCTGCACTGCTCCTGCATCCCAGCCAGTGCTGCACTGCTCCTGCAGCACAGCCAGTGCTGCACTGCACCTGCATCCCAGCCAGTGCTGCACTGCACCTGCAGCACAGCCAGTGCTGCACTGCTCCTGCAGCACAGCCAGTGATCCAGTGCTGCACTGCTCCTGCAGCACAGCCAGTGCTGCACTGCTCCTGCAGCCCAGCCAGTGCTGCACTGCTCCTGCAGCCCAGCCAGTGATCCAGTGCTGCACTGCACCTGCAGCACAGCCAGTGCTGCACTGCTCCTGCAGCCCAGCCAGTGATCCAGTGCTGCACTGCTCCTGCAGCCCAGCCAGTGATCCAGTGCTGCACTGCACCTGCAGCACAGCCAGTGCTGTACTGCATCCTGTGCTCACTGCACCTGCCCTGGGCAGCACTGCCCCACCTCCTGCAGGATTCCCTGTGCAGCTGTGTGATCCAGAACACGACAGTGTGCTGGTGAACAGTGGGGCGTGCAGTGCACATGCAGTATTTCCCAGCTACACCCAAGGTTAGGGTGCTTGCAAGGCCACTCTCACCCAGCCAGCCTCAGGCTGGAAACAGAAGAAATATGAGTAGCTGTGTATTTAAATTCACCTATGGAAAGTCTGTTAAGTGACAAACTGTCAGAGTTTTTATATCCAGGGAAGGAAAAACAGCCACAGAGTTGTCTGTAATACCCCTATTACAGCTCAACATCTCCAAATATCCATTTGTCAAACATGAATTATAAAGCTATAACATTTCATAATTCAGGACACACTCAAATCCTAGGAAAAATAGCTACAAGAACCCAAATAAAAAAAAGCATTTGTTCCATTTTTGACAGCTTAATGAATGCTCTACTCTTTTGCATTGATTTTTGTGTGTGTGTCTGTGTGTGCCTGTGTGTCTGGGAAGGATTTCTCAGGGGGTTTGCTGTAAACAGGGAAAGCAAAACCCTCTGCCAAGGCTTTTTCTACTTTTAAATAACTTCCATATTAAAATATTTCAGCAGAGAACGTATGCAAAATTACAAAGAATGCAAAAAGCAAAAAACCAACTACTTGCATCCCAGTAAACATACTGGAGATTTGTAGAACAAGACATTAAACAAGCCAATATCTTGATGTGGCAAGAGAGTCCCAGATACAGCTTATGTTAATTTCTTCTTTCAGGAAATAACAGCAAATTCAGAAAGCACGGTCAGCAGAGCCCTAGAATCTTAAATTCAGGATTGATTCCAGGACAGAAATTTTCCTTATACACCTAAGGGCTCATCTTGCAAGGCAAAATATGTTAAAAAAGCCTGCAAGCACCTAGAGACAGAAAAATAATGTATCATAAAGAGATCCGTGCCACTTGGAATTGCTGAACACTTTACATTGACGCACTCTGGCCAGCTGGATCCCTGCTTTAATGATTTTCCCAGTTCTTATCATAATGAACTCCATATAATTTAAATGGAGATTAATTCTTCCATTTAAAGTGCTTTAGAACAATCCTGCCTGAGATCCTGAGCTCAGCCCAGCCTCTCCCTGTGCCTCCTCTCCAGTTCTCCCACAGCCCCTAAGTGGATCTGACAGATCCCTGCTCAGATAGCAGCTGCTTTCTCCCCCCAAAATGTTGCCTTTTTGCTATTCAGGAGTATCCTAATACCAACAAATGCTAAATGCAGTCTGACATGTCCCCCTAAGAAACAAACTTGTAAGTTGTGGCTTCAAAGCAAACCTTGAATAAATAGGACACGTTGTGTACACCCCGGCTAACATCCAACATATGCTTTGGCTTCCCGATGCTCAGGCAGAGCAAGAATAGCCTCTGGACAAGGCTGTGATTTGCTCTTGCTGGTACTTCCAACATTTCTAATGTACCATTTTTTTGTGCCTGTATAAACAATTTAAAGGATGTAACGAAGACGACCCCGGCGCGGTTGGGAACGCGATGTCCCCATGAATTATGGATGGCTGGAGGTGCTCACCCAGAGCAGTCCCCAGCTGCCCCTGCCCAGGGACAGAGCCTCTGCCAGGGCACCCCAGCAGGGCCTTTAGCACACAAAAAATTAACTGAGACACGGAACCTCTCTGCCTTTTCTCTTTGGTGGTGGGGATCGACAGCTGCGATCATTAACAGCTCTCTTTCCAACAATTACAGGGACAAGCAATAAAGGAAAGTGAGGAAACAGGAAAAAACTGCATTTAACTGCACTTACAGTTAAGACACTCCATCCTTAAAAGGCCAATTTATTGATTCATTCTTTAGGGGAGAGAAGGGATGGACAGAGAAGAGAAAGCTTTCACCTACTTTAAGACTTGTATTTTGCTTTGCCATTGTTTAATACTCTATTTTATGACTATTCCTCCTGAAAGGACTAAAACAAGTTAAATTTCATCACCCTCTCCTCTACTTCCAGATCCATTCCCTTTCCCTTTGTGCTCCATCCCTCTGGATTTAGGGTGTGACAGTACATCATTAAAATTCAAGTACAATAATTTCCAAGACCTAAAGGGAGCTTGCTGAAATGTTATGACTGGAAGCCCATTTTCCGTGGCCAGAACACAGGTTAACTGATCAGGACAAAACAATTCCTGTGCTCCAGCCCCAGGGGAACCCTCCTGCACCCCACAGCAGGGGCAGCACAGACAGCAGTGAGCTGGAACGTGGCCTGCTCACAGCTGGATTAACACTGGAGCTGGACACTCCATCCTGCATTAGGGGCAGCCCCCCAACACTCAGGTGTGTATCATCAACTCACAGATTTCATCCTTGAGTCCCTCACACACATTTTATTCTTCCGGGAAACTGAGGTCTGGTGGAGCTTGGAGAGCTCTTTAAATTTTAATTCAAAACAGTATTTCTTTACATTCTGCCTAAAACTGAGGATAACTAAGCTGTATCTTATAAAGAAAGCAAAATAAAGCAAGACAGATTTTTTCCCCCCCTATTTTTCTATTTTACTTTTCATTTCCAATATTAAGTTTGGGTTTGTTTCCCTCTGTTGGGATGGCACCAAAACTCCAGAGATATCTCTCAGTCACTCAGAGCCCTGCCCTGCCTGTGTTTGCCATCAAAGTCCATGTGGCATTTTGATGCTGAATCTTTAGATTTACAGCACTGTTTAAAATAATTATTCATGTAAGAAACATGCAGACCAGTTTTAAGGCTATCCTGAAAGGTGTATCTTTGGAATGCTGGAGTAGTAAATAGCCACGATACAGCCAAATTATTTATTTAATCAGAAAAAACTTCACTAGATTATAAATAGATTTCAAGCTATAGTGCTCTTATGAGAAGTGTAATTACAGTTAAGAGAACCACTTCGTTTTTCTGGCAGGCTCCTGGGATCCCTTAAAACAAGCTAAGGAATAGCTCAAGATACAGAAAAAATAAATCTGAATTCCTTCTCTGTGTGCTGTCAATGGCAGGTCCTGGTACTGGGTACAAAAAACACCACATAATCCCACAACAAGTTCTGCTAAATTTGCAAATTTTGCTCTTATTTCCTCCAGACCTTAAAAATAAGATAAAAGGCACCTTACATCTGTAGTAAAATCAAGTAAACACCGAGTCCATCCTTTAAATCCACCTCTCCTGCCAAACACGAATCTGCACATACATATTCCCACACATACAGGAATTTTTAATTGTTTTTCCACCCTGCTGGGCTCTGGTCTGAGATACCTGTAATTAACAACACAAGCTTTAGCCAGAAGCCTCATAAACCCCATTGGAATCCAGTGTGTTTCCAGAGTCCTTCCCACTCCAGAACCCCTTTGATGAGCTGATGAATTGTCCTAAATGCAGAATTTCTTTAATAATCCACCTTGTGTAAAGCCAAAAGGTCAGAAACCACATCTCCCCCAGAACACTTTCACGCCGTTCTACACCCATAGAAAAACCACTGTATTTCCTCCTACATGCAGTAAGCTGCTGCTGTGAAAACATGGCTTATCTCCCAAATTAGGAGGCAAGTTGAATCCTTCAAGCTGTAGAGACCCAGGGTACAATCCCCAAGCTGACAGTTGTGTTTTAACCCCCAAAGCAGACCCCACGAGCACACAACAGGCAGAGAGGCCACGCACCATCATAGTAGACAATGGCTCCGACCAGCTTGTCCCTGCGCAGCATGGGGAACAGCTCCAGGGCCCGGGACTTGGTGAGGACATAGCTGCTCTTCAGGCACTGGCTGCCTGCCACCAGGTCATACAGCTTTATCCCAACCCAGTAGTACGGCAACTGCCACCACCTGAGGGCAAAAAAGCACCATGAAGTGAAAGAAACCCACAAATGAAGCGTTTAGGAGTGTGTGCACACGCTGTTACTGCAAAAGGAACACGGTGAGCAACACAGAATGTCCTTACAGCAGTTCTGCCTTGTACAGCATTACAAGCTCATGGTAACAAGACAGTGTAAATACTCCAGACTTAGATGTTGTTTGCCACTGTTTTCAACTGAGCTACTCCCTGCACATTCAAGTACATTCAAGGGTTTATTTGCTCTAAAATCAGGATGTAAATGGAGCTGTTATGCCTCTGTGTGAGATATTGGAGCTGTGTGTGCAAGCTGAGAGGATTCCCCCAAGGCAGGGGCTAAGGTCTCCTGCACCAACAGGACCACAATAAATGCAGGCAGCCACCCACCTACACAAGCTCCAGCTCTTACAAGCCCCTCACACTAAGAAAGGAATCATAAAAAGAGGAATGGTCTTAACAAAATTAAGTTCCTTCAGCAAAACCTCCCTGCTCTAAGTAGCCTGTTCTAGTGAGTAATTTCTCTTACAGACTGAAAACCAAAGCACTGAGTGTCTTCCTCAGAGGAGGAGGAACCTGTTCTGTCCATACCCAACTGCCCTGTGCTCACATGGGCTAAAGAGCACCTTGCTGGGAACCCTGGCATGTGTTGAGCACAAGGGTGTACCAAAAAAAAAGCAAATACATCCTAGGAATGAGAGCTCTTTCCAGCTGCCCCTGTTGGGGTGCTGCAAGGGCACTGAAGAGCTGCACCCCAGGATGTGCCCCCAAAGCAGCGATTGCTGGCTGGGGCACAAGAGAATTTCCCCTGGGACAGCTTTAAGAAACCTCTCCCAGGCCAGGGTTTGCTTGTGAGAAGCCAAGGTAAAGGAGAGAAGGCACAGCAAAGCTTACTTGTAGATGGGGAGCATGATGGGCAGCGGGGCCGAGAGGTGGGGCGCGCTCTGCAGCAGATGTGCACGCTCCTCCAGTGCCTCCTTCACCATCCTGTACTGCAAAACACCAGCCAAGGTCAGTGCCACAGCAGCACCCTCCTCCAGAGCCTTCCCCACCCTCCTGTCCTGCCAAACACCTGCCAAACACCAGCCAAACACCAGCCAAGGTCAGTGCCACAGCAGCACCCTCAGCACCAGGGCAAACACTCAATCACAGGCTTTATCCAGGTCTCAACATCTCACACCATTGTCACTGGACACTCAAAACCATGCTGCGATCTGCTGAGAAACCCAAAGGTTAAGGAAAAGGATCCCAAATAAAATTAAGTTTCAGTAGTTTCATCTCGGTGTCTTGGCAGCACAGTTGAGTAATTTTTAATTTGTACATTAAGCTCAAGAAGCCACGTTGCCCTAAGGAGGGGCAGGAGGCACGTCAGGAGGGCTAGGACATCCCACAGCACAGCCCCATGCCAATTCCCACAGCTCAATCCTGCCCTAACTCCAAGCTGCAAATGCAGAGGGGTTCCTCTCCAAAGCAATCACTGTGCATCAACGTGAAGCTGTTCTTTGGCAGGAAAGGTGGGTTTCTATAGGTGAATAACTGCAGGGTTTGGATATTTCTCCCTGAAAAATCACCATTCCTGCAGCAGCATTACAACCACTAAAACATACTTTGAGGGGTTCCAATGGGAAGACAATGTGATTCCTCAAAACAGGAATATCAGGCTTCCACCCACACAAGAATGCACAAAAGCATTTATACACTATCACTCATTTACCATATTTTCTTTCCCCATGCCAAAATAAATCACTCATTTACCATCTTTTCTCCCTTATTCCAAAATAAGTCGCTCATTTACAATATTTTTCCCCCATTCCAGGCACAATCACTCATTTACCATCTTGTCTCTCTCCATTCCAGAATAGGACAGTCCCCCCAGTTCATGACATTACCTGTCTCTTTTTATTTTAATTTTATTTTAAGCTGTTTTTATTCTGAGATCAGGCCTGTCTCTGCCTGCCTTCCCAAGCCCCACAGCCTGCAAGGCATGGCAGTGACACTGCAAAGCTGCCCCACAGAAGACACTTCCCATGCACAGTGGCTGTGGAACACAACGCTGGAATCCAGCATTGGAAAGCTCAAAAGGAGACTCAGCTCTAACTGGGACAACAATTCTTGCTGAACAGCCAGCACAAAAAATTACCTGCTCGAAATCCAAGTTCATGATGGCCTTCTGGAGATACCTCACTCCACCATGGATCAATTTAGTGCTCCTGCTGCTGGTCCCCGATGAGAAATCATCTCTTTCTAGAAGGGCTGTTTTTAGTCCTGTGTTACCAGAAAACCAAATTAACTTCTTAAATTACACAATTTGTATGTAATTCATTAAAGACACTTCTCTAGGGTAGAGACAATCACAAGAAAAATTACTCTGTACATGGATAAATTTGTATTCAAAGTGTAGTGCACTGTCTATATTGTAATGAAAAATTTTAGCCTTCTTCCTGAGGGAAAAGTCAAAGCAGAACTTCAACAGCAGCACATTAAAAGCTGGATATTTCACAGTGGAAAAGCATTACAGCACATTACAGGGGCCACGCTCCCGGAGGAAACGAGAGCTTGGATGCATGGCAGGAACAGAGGGGTTCCATGGACACTTTTAACCCTTTGCAGCAGGGAACTCTAAACCTCACCAACAATTTAAGTGACATTCCAGAGAGGGAGACAACTGGCAGCTCTGCTTACTTACACTTTGCTTCAGAGGTGCCCAAAACCGGGGGAGAGAGCCAGAGAGCGTGGGGCACACTTGGAATTCTGACATGCACAGAAAATACTCTGATCAGCCTTAATCACTGAATCTCTCGGGCTGGAAAAGACCTCCAGGATCACTGAGTCCAGCCATGCTCCAGCCCCTCAATGTCCTTTTGTCACAAGGGACCCAGGACTGGACACAGCACTCGAGGGGCCTCAGCAGTGCCAACACAGAGATTTTAACATCTACTAGTCTCCCAAAACTTTCGTGTCCTTAAAAAAATCTAATTATTACTGGTAACTTAGAAAGATCAGAGCAATTCATTTTTGTCGAATGTGACTGAAGATTAATGGACACAATCAGAAATAATTTGGTGAAGATTTATCAAACACATGAGAAGCAAAATTTGTTGTTAAGCCAAGCAAACAGGATAAAAGAGCAAGTTCCATGAATGAACAGCAACGAGACACAACTCATTAACCAAATGCCTGTGAATATTTCACACCTCAGAAACCTACTGATATAACCAGTACATCCAAGAAAAGGATAAACAGAGATTAACTGTAATGATTCCTGTCTGTTATACAACTGTATTTTCTGCCAAAACACAGCAGAGGCAGAAGTGACAAGATCTTTGTCTCGTGTTATTAAATAAAACAACCAGGCTGGAGCTTGGGCTCACCTCCCTATGGTCAGACCCTACTGCTTTATCCATTTCTTATTGCCACACCAAACTGAAAGGCACTCCTGGGGTCAGGTTTTGCCTCTGTTTCTGAGGTGCTTGTCCAGGTTAAAAGCCTGAGAACTCCGGGGCTGTCTGCTCTGGCAATTCCCTGAAGCTGGGGTGATGGGAGCACGGATCTGTTGTGTGACCTTCCTCAGGATCCTTCTGCCTTCTGAGAACAGAGGCTTCCCAACCAGGACAATCAGTCCTCTGCCTCTGAGTACTTTAGAAAAGGCAATCTGAGAAGTTTGTTCTAAGCCAGCCAGCCCAAGAAGGAGCCTGCAGCTGGACCTCCAGGCCTTTACCTCTGGTGGCTGCGTCCAGGGCACAGCCACAGCCCGTGGCTCCCCCGCCGATGACGAGGACATCGAATTCCCCGCTGGTCTGCAGGGCCAGAATCTGCTGCTCTCTCGTGGGGAGATGGTCCTTCCTTACTGGAGCACCTTCTGCAGCTTGAACCTGCACCAAGGCACCCTGCAAAGATGGAACACAGCCCATGAGGCCCCGGCTTTGTTCTGTACACACCCATGGGGGACAGACACCCCCCAAAACACAGCCTTTTATAGAACCAGAAAAATAAACTCACTTATTCCCAGCCACCTCCCCCATATTTAACAATAATATTGTATTAAACATTGAGGAGCAGCCAGCACTAAAACCATGAAGTGCTACCACACCTTTACTTCAGCTTGCCCACCTCAATGTAGCACTGTACTCAAGTGTTACTACCTGTATTGATTACTTCTAGGAACACTCAAATGTGACAGGATGCTGTTATTATCCTAATAAACGTTACAAAGGAAGCATTTTAATAAACAGACTCTCTACCAAGAAATTCACCACAGCAAAGGACAAAGAGCTGAGTGTACACTTCACATCTCATACAGTGGCATCAATCCCAGCTCAAGTTTGATGAGGTCCAGGAGAGATGTGATTGTCAAACATAGTGCCCTGAAACACCAGAGAAACTCTAATTTCACCCCTTCTTGAGAAACTTCTCAGCAATGCAGTTTATGTCCTATAGCGTGTTAAAATACAACTCTAAAGTGACAAAGCTGAACGATGTGGCAGTTTCCAGACAAGTTCACATTTTCCTGGAATGGCCCTGGGAATCTCTTTGGGCTGATGTTCCTGGAGCCAATGCTGCTGTCTGTGCAGTGACTGTGGAGAGAAGGGCTGATGCTCAGTCACCTACCAGGGACCATGGCTTAAGCGTGAAGGGTTTGAGCAGTCTCTGAAGGCTCTCTGCTGTTAACATCAACTTAAGCTGAATTCTAAACATTTCCAGACTTTCTGGAAAATTATAAACACTTTGAACACCAGAAAAACCTGTTTAACCCTAATTTAAGACCTAATTTAGGCCCAGTCTCCAGGCCAAATGGCAAACTTAACTATGCAGAATAGCTTCTGTCCAGATCTCCTAGACAGGAAAGAGCAGACTAATAAAAATTCAAGTGACAAACCACAGAAACTCCTTTCCAGCCAAGCACAAAAAGCCTCAGTTCAGATTATATGGTGCATGCAGCCTAAATATTTTTGTTCAGAATTATTTGCTCATTCCTCAGCAGTATCATGATTTAAATGCATTAGTTCTGTGTCCCTCTTTCTACTACAGAGCTGAAAATAAAATCTAGTAACTATAGCCATGACTCAAGGAAGTGCATATTCCAAAGATAATTAATGGCCAGGTTGATCCTGCAATCAGGGAGGATACTGACTATAATGCAAGCAGCTCATGAAAATCACTTAGGACAGCAGCAACCACTGTCACTGCACGTGTGGTATGATTCAATCCATGGGGAAAGTCGGGCTGGAGACAGAGGCCTTCACTTCTTATTGAGGATCTAAGGAGGTCCTGGAGCTGCTCCAGGGCTGGAGCCCCTCTGGAGCCAGGCTGGGAGAGCTGGGAATGTTCCCCTGGAGAAGGGAAGGATCCAGGGAGAGCTGGGAATGTTCCCCTGGAGAAGGGAAGGATCCAGGGAGAGCTCCGAGCCCCTTGCAGGGCCTGAAGGGGCTCCAGGAGAGCTGGAGAGGGACTGGGCACAAGGAAGAAAATTTAAGATTTTGAACAAACCCTAGCATTCCCACTGTTTTTCCCGAGCATGCAATCCCTGTGGGATCAGCTCAGTCCCTCCAGGCCACGGGGGAGCTGCACTGAGCGCTCACCCAGCTGAGCCCTGGCTGCCAATGCTGCAGCAAAGCTCTGCTCATTACCAGGTGTGTGCAGGCACAGTAGCCCCCAAATACAACCCTAAAACAACCCCCAGACAAACACAGCCCTCAGACACAGCCCTCAGACACAGCCCCAGCTCCCCAGGCACTCCGGGGAGGGGAGGCACACGGGTGAATCCTGATGAGCCTCGGTGTGATGTGATGTGATGTGATGTGATGTGATGTGATGACACATTAACGTGTGCCTGCTGGAAAAGATCACCGGAGGAGAGACAAAGTTTGGGCGCTTCAGAGAAATTCAGCTTCCACGTTATTCCTCTGGCTGTGGAATTGTGTCCATTCCCACATCCTGCCTCTTGCCCTGCTCTCTCACCGGCCCTCTCAGCTCCAGCACTGCTATAAAACTTTCATACCCCCAAAGCAAAATAAATACATATAAGAGAATCCCAGAGTGGTTTGGGTTGGAAGGGACCTTAAAGGCCAGCTTGCCACTCCCAGACAGCAGTGACAAGCAGGAAACTGGGAACACTAAGCACCCTCTCACACGTGTTTTGGCTGATCAAACTCAGCGACACGTGCTCAGCTTCCACGAGCTCCAGAGAAGGAAAATCCCCACCTCCAAATTTACTCTGCACTACATTTCCAGGGAAATTTCCAAGCACATGAATGAACTTCAGGAAAATAACAGAACACCAGAAAATACAGATTTGGAGTTCAAGAAATACTGGCATCAGGTGGGTTTGACTCCTTGTTTTGGTGTGTTTTTAAAGCCATTATTTACAACAAATAGCAGAGCCCAGAGCAGAGTCCCCAGCATCCAGCCCCTGGTATAGCCAGAGTGTGGAGATTAGCCCTGGAATATAAGCAGGGTGATTAGTACCAGGAATTGATATAGATATGATGCATCTTGCTGTCAATTAAATGGGGAGTGAAGAAAAGCTGCACACAGGGATTCCATCTGCAGTAACGTGATTAGTTTGGCAGTGAACAAGTGTGTTTACTGAAATAAGCAATTGCTGTTTATATCTACAATTTCTCAGGCAAGAGTTCCCTGAATGGTTTTGATTACGCTTTTAGTGAGAGGAATTTAGTTTGGCAGTTTGAATTTAATCATCAAGTTATAAAGTGATCTAGTAATCCATAAGCCAGTGCTCTCGTTAATTTGCTACTGTAAATCTCCAGGTAGGTTTGCAGAGTGAAATTCATCATCCTTATTCATTTAAACAAAAAAATACAGTAATTAAAACTCCCCAGAGCAGACCCTGATGCATTATCATATTATCACACTATTGGATTCACCTTGCTGAGCACTTTCTACTGACCAGCAATACACTCAATACACCAGGAAGAGCAGGATTGGGAAAGAACAGCAGAATCTTACAACTCCAAACCAAAGCACTGCATTTCCCCTTAGTGATCATGAGGGGAGAGGGGAAGGAAAAGCCACCAGTGGTGTCCAGTTCAACCTGGCATATCCAGGAACACCCCACCTCACAGCTGGCACCGTCCTGCTTAGGCTGATGCATTAAATAAAGGCCCAGAAAACCAGTGTGCAGCAATTCAGTCAGGAAGCAGAGGATGTGGTAGTTCCAGTTCTATGTCTCCATCTCCATGTGACCCAACATGTCAGCAGATGTGTGTGTACAGAAAAATCAGTTGGGATTAAAGCTCAAGTGGTTCAGTCATTTTGACACCATGATCACGCTGTGTAAAACCCTGGGGTTTAATCTGTGTCTGGAAGTTCATAGTGACCACCCATCCCCACAACAATGGGAATTCCCTGAATTCTGGAATACTGCAGACAATACAACAAGTGAGCTCTCCAGGTGATTTTTCCCTTCCAACTCCTCTAACTTAACAGTCCTAAAAGCTGCAGCTGCCATTTTTGACAGTAATGAAAAGTCAGGCTGTAAAACCCTGGGATAAAGACTCTGGAGAGAGCATTACCAGCTTGGAGCAAGGCAGGCAGCCCGATGGGGAGCTCACTTGAAATGCTGGGGTTTATTTTCTGCAACAGTATCTGAAGCCATAAGAATCCTGCCTTATCCACTTCCCAGCTTGGCTCCCCAGAAATGACTCATCTCATTCCCAGCTGCTCCTCCTCCTCCCCACAGAAACGGCCAGAAAAGGGATTTAAAGACTGTTGTGGATGTGGCACTTGGGGACGTGGGTCATGGTAGCCTTGGCAGTGTTGGGAGAATGGTTGAACTTGGAGTCTTGGAGGAATCTCCCAACCCAAACAAGTCCATGGTGCAAGGATGGAGAAGGGCTCTCAAGAGCACAGCCACTCCAACCCTGCTGGGAAGAGCAGATACCCCAAGGAAATCTGTTTTATCCAGCAGCAAGATCCAACACACAGACTGACGTGGGGATGTGCTGCACCTCTTTCTGGGCTGCTGCTTTCCTGTGGCAGGTCTCCAACACCACCCTTGCCTGCTGGGGTGATGACTCTGTCTGTGCCACCCTCACCTGCAGCACAGCCCTGCAGGAACCTTGGCTCACAGGGGCTGGGCTGTGCTCACCAGTGGCAACAGGAGCCTGTCCTACACCTGCCCTGGCACAGACCCTGTCCCCAGCCCTAGGAACCCAGCAGGAGCTGGCACCAGCGCTGTGTTCAAGCTGGGATGTTCAGAGGTAGTACTGGTGGTTTCATTTCCAGCTTCTAAGCTTGAAAACACTGTCCACACAGTGCTTTTACTTCAATCTGGGCTTTCCACTCCTCCTGCAACTAAACAAAGCCCAAAGGTCATTTTTTAAACTATTTCTACAAGCCTGACATATGCTCTGACAGATTTTAAGTTTCCTATTTTATCAAAAAATCATAATTAATACTTACGTGTTTGTTTCTATACTGAGAAAATTGAGAGAGGCCAAAAACTGTTGCTATGGCACCTCCTCCAATGAGAGCAGTTCCTTTCACTGCCTTCTGAAATGCCATTTTTTACTGGAAGAAAAGAAGATAAAAATTAATTGGCAGTTTTACCACGTCAGGATCTGGTACACACAGAATAGACCATCTGAAGAAACTAATGACAATGTTATGACAAGTTGAAATTTAGGGTAGCAATGTCTTAATTAGATATTTTCACTGCAATATTAATAACTTCTAAACAAAGTCTAGACAGAGGCAAGCCAGAGCGCTCTGGTGTTTGCTGAGAAAGCTGAAGGACGAAAGAGTATTTAGATCAGAGAAAATACACACACCCCACAGTGACCCTGAGTATGTGACAGGTAGTGCCAATCCCACGGCAAAAGCAGACCAGGAGCAGCCTGTCCCCAGGGCCACCAAACCCTTATCCCAGCTCCACAGCACGCTCCACAACACCTCCTTCGGCTCCCTGCCCGTCCCATCCAACTCCTGCTACAATCCCAGTCGGCCAGCAGCAGTTTTCCCGGCAGGACGAGCCCAGCAGCCCAGCCTGTCCTACCCCGGGCGGTGAGGGAGCGGTGCCGGGCAGCAGAGCAGGGCCCTCCGCGAGAAGCAGCAGCACCGACAGGGACAGGACTCGAAAGCAGGGTGGCACTTCACCACCCAGCTCCAGAGGGTTTGAAACCAGCCCTATGTGGGTCAGGCAAATTCTTAATAGACCCAGTGTTCGGATCCTGAATGACAAATTTGCACGGGGCTGACCTGAATCTTAAGCAGGCCCAGCCCGCTGTGTCCTCCCCGGCCCGCGGGGCTGGAGCGGCGTCAGCGACAGCATGGCTCCCATCTGGGGATCCTGTCAGCGCCCTGTGCACGGGGACAGCCCTGGCCAGGCCATTCCCCAGCAGGGCCCTGACAGCTCATTTAGCACCAGCAAAGCTTAAAGCAAAGGCAGACAGCGTGTACAGCCCGGTGCTGCACTTAGCAGGCCCGGGGAGCAGCCCTGGGCCAGGAGCAGGGAGCCAGCTCCCCATGGCAGGCTGGGCAGGAACGGCCCTGGCAGCCTCCCTGGCCTTTGTCAGGACACAAACACACAGCCAGGCCACTTCACTGAACTGCTCCTGCACCTGCACATGCTGAACACAAACGTGTTCCCAGGCTGGAACGCCCCAAAGGAGGAAATTCCTGGCTGGCAGGGTGGGCAGGCCCTGTCCCAGGTGCCCAGAGCAGCTGTGGCTGCCCCTGGATCCCTGGCAGTGCCCAAGGCCAGGCTGGACACTGGGGCTGGAGCAGCCTGGGACAGTGGAAAGTGTCTCTGCCCAAGGAATGAGATGAGTTTTGAAGTCCCTCCCAATCCAAACCTTGATGTCCTTTCCTGAGCACTGTGCCTGCAGCACCCTCAGTGTGGGGGAGATCCCACACACAATTTCTGGTGCAGACATTCGATGCAGAGCTGCCGTGTGTACAAACTGTGTAAAGGATCGTGTACAGGAGGCCAAGACTTGCAGCTTCCCACAAGTTTTTCCATAGAGGGGCATTTATGCTCTTGGAGACTCCCACTACAACTGCCTTTCTTCTATCACACTTTCCATTTACTTCTTACTATGGGCACAAAAAAAGATCAGCTTCATCTTTCCTGGGTGCCGTGACAGGGAGGAGTGAAAGGGAAAGGTGACACAAAAACCCCAGCCAAGGAAGCTCCTGGGAGGGAAGTTACTGTGGAGGTCTGGCCTCAAACGCTACAGCACCTCCATGAAAACAGAGAGGAAGACTATGGATAGTCACAAAGTCCTATCACAAGGTAGAATCCAGGAGAGTGCAGGAACTGAAAGAGCAGCTGGCACATTCCCATGGCCGTGCCCACAGGAGCTCAGACAATCGGCATCGCTCCCGAGCCGTGTGGTGACAGGAGTGCTGCACACACCAGCCAGCACTGCGGGACACACACCTCTCCCAAGGCCTCCAGGAGGCAGGAATGACAGCTCAGCTCTCCAAGCAAGGCTGGTGGCAGTACCAGAGTAGTTTCACACCCCTCACGCAGCACCAAGGGAGTTGCTCTGGGAGCCTGAAACCCTCCAAGCGCCTGTGCTGGAACACAACAATCCATAGAGCTGAAAAGGAACAAATTAGCATCTTCCGAGGAGCTGTCTCACACGTCTGCAGAGATGCTGGCTTGCAGGAAAACAAAGGGAAGCGTGCCCTTTCCATGCTGTATGAGCTCAGGAGGAAGGGAGATGGCTGAAGCACAATCCCTGTTCAGAACCAGGGTTCCTGCAAGCACAGACAACACTCACCCCTGCTTCTTGTCCCCTGGCTTGGACCTCTCCTGAGACTTCATTTTGGACACCAGGGACACACCTGCCAGAGTTACACCATTCCTACTGATGGAATTTGAGCACAAGGTACACAAACCACTGACTAAGAGGCTCAAAGAGTGTCACCTCCAGCAGCTTGTCACCTGACGCCAGTCTCACTGCGCATGCAGCCGCTCCAGCCACCTGAAGTGACATTAGGTGTGCCACAGGGCACAGCCGTCCCACCTTCATCACGGAGGTAGCATCTCTAACAGCCAGGAGGGGACTCGGTGCCCCTGCACAGGGATTTCTGGCCTCAGGGCTCCCCAGTCCTTGCCTGGCCCCGGGGAGTGTTGCATTAGCTGTCCTCAGAGCTGAGAGCCGATTACAGGCAATGCTCCTGAGAAAGGAGCTCTCCCAGGAGACCGGCTGCTCAAATTGCCACATCAATCTTGCTCACCATCCCTAAGAGAAGCTTATTCAGGAGAGAAAGGAAAATAGGGCTTAGCATAAGCCACTCTAGCACAAAGCCATCCAGGCATTCCGACCAGACCGGTGCTTTTACACCTGGAACAGCTCGACTGCCTCCCGGGAACGGCGAGCCCGAATTTGAGGTGGGAGCAGATGTGTTTGGATGAGGCTGGGTGAGCTCACTGCAGGTGGGCAGAGCCTGGGTACCACCAACCTGCCTCTCTTCCATCCTGAAATCAATTCTTGTGGAAGAAATGGGATTTAATTTTAATGAAAATTATAATAGCAACCAGCATGAGAAGCACTACAGTCAGACATATGTCATCTTTCCATCACACAAATATTCTGAATCACCTGTAAAAGCGGTTCAGAGTGTTTTAGTGCTGTCAGTGCCATCTGACACAGTAAATCTGCATGTTAAGCCCTACCCTTGATTTCAATAGGAGCCATAAATGGCACCTTTGGACCCATAGCCTCACCTGGAGAGTGGGCTGAGGTCCCTGACAGACTCTAGAACAAGCTGTGGCAGGAGCAGGAGCCCTTGAGTGGCGTCAGAAGAGCCAGGAGCACGTCACGAGGAGTAGCTACTGCATAGAATGATCTGTCCAAGGAGTTCAATAACCCCAGGGAACAGTTCCCAGGAACAGCTGAGCACTGGTAAAGATTCAGAGGGACATTAGCTCAAACTGTTATTAAAGGATTCATGGTAAGAAGAAATAGCATTTAAACTTGAAAGGACACAAAGGGGTGGGGAGAGCAGTCTACACAAAATGGAAACAACACAGAAGATTTATCAGCACAAGTTCCTGCTTTCGGTTTCCAAAAGTTAATACAAACCCTAGTCACAGTAAAACTCCTCACAGTCCTTAACCAGCAGCTCAGTCACACTCACTGGCACTACAGTGACGTGCAGCAATCACTTCCAGAGGAGTGTCCCACTCCAGAGCCAGGCTGGTGAGCAGCCCCCTGCCTCAGTGAGGTCCCCAGGTGACCCTCCCCAGGTGACCCTCCCCAGGTGACCCTCCCCAGGCTGGCACAGCTCCTGGCAGTAACTTGCCTTCCTTACTTCCCGTAATGCCCAGCCCAGCCAGGTGCCCGACTGCTGTCTGGGTGTTCTTGGGAGCTGTGAAACCCACTCCCAGCGGGGCAGCAGGTGGCTGAAAGGGAAGAACCACGAGCGCCTTTCCCTACTCAGGCACTTCCTAATTACAAAGATATGGGGCTAGATCTGAGCAGCCCAGTGCCAAAGCTGGGGGCAAGAACGACAGGAATGAAGGAAGGGCAATGGTGGGGAGTTCAGCCCCAGAGCAGTGAATTAGAGAGCGAAGCAGGACGAGTGTTCCAGCAGAAGAGCAGGGACAGATGGATCGAGGCTGCAGAGCTGCTGCCATCAGACACGGCTCTGAGCCGCAGAAATTGGGAGGAGAAACCCAATCTGTTATGTCGTACAGCCGTGTGCCTTACGAGGCCATTACCATGGAATCCGGGTGCTTCGCATTCCATTGCAAACGAACACATCTAATAAAGTGAGTCACTCAATGCAAGCCTTAAAAATAGAAAACTTATAATCATCTCCACTACAGTTTGCATAACTTGCCGTTGGCGCAGGAGCATTGTCTGACTTCCTCCTTCCCAAAGCTCCTCAGGTAAGTTCGGGATGATGAGAGGCGCGGACTGATGTCCCTCCGGGCTGAGCTGAGAGTCCTGCACTGCTCCTGCCTCTCAAGGAGCTCCCTCTGAGCCAGCTCCCATCCCTCTCGCAGGACTACTCAGAAGCTGGCCACGGTGACAGCAGCAAGGCCCCGCTTAAATTCTGGCTGGGGGTACTCTCAGCCTTTAAAGCTCTACTGGTCTGTTACCCGCAGTTTCAGGGTGTGTCAATGCAGGAAGTGGCAAACTAACAAGAAAAAGGGGATGTAACCAGAAAATAGCCCAATTAGCAGCCTCTTAACCGGGTCATCTAGCAAGCTGTCTCTGTGTGCCTTCAGAGTGGTTAATGTTACACAGAACAACTGAAATAGCTGGAAAGGAACTGATTAAAGCTTAAACCAACACAAGCTGGAGATGCTTTCCCTGCAAGGCAGATCTCTGGTGAGGAGCTACACCCCAAGGAAGGGTTCCAGAGGGTCCGAACACGTCTGACACAGCAGGGACACAGCCACCCTCCAGAGCCTCTCCTGGAGCCTCCCATGCTCACTCTGCGTTCTCAAACACAGGTTAGGGCATTGCAATTAAAGTCATTTCCCAAGACCACCTCTCCAAGCAAGCACAGGAACATGACCTGTGAGATCCACACAGCTCACAGGGTCACCCCACAGATCTGTAACCAAGCACAGGAACATGACCTGTGAGATCCACACAGCTCACAGGGTCACCCCACAGATCTGTAACCAAGCACAGGAACATGACCTGTGAGATCCAGACAGCTCACAGTGTCACCCCACAGATCTGTAACCAAGCACAGGAACATAACCTGTGATATCCAGACAGCTCACAGGGTCACCCCTCAGATGTGGAACCAAGCACAGGAACATGACCTGTGAGATCCACACAGCCCACAGGGTCACCCCTCAGATGTGGAACATCCTGCACACAGAATTTAAACTCCCAGTCCCCCCAGGCCACGCTGTGCCGGTAAGTGGAAACCAAGCAGCACTTTACCATATGGGAAAGTCCTTCCCACGCTCCAGTACCGGCAACCAGCTCGGCTCTCATGCCCAAAAGTGGCTGTAGTACTTGTCAGGCACAAAAATAAAGGAGAAACAAAGCAGAAAATAGGTATCCTATCCTCATTCCTCCTCTTGGTCCTACTGCTTCCAACTACTTAATCTGCCTTCTGTACTCAGACACCAAGATATTCCCACCCTGCTTTAGACGACAGAACAACTGCTGTAAACTCTG